CAAGCTCCTTCCACTCGATTAGAAGAGCCAAAAATTTATTGAAAATATATGGGTGATTTTTTTAAGTGGAATTTTTGCAAGATTTTAGTTTGGGTTTTTCTATTTTCTTGCCATATTTAGTTTTTCTAGAAACACTATTTATAGGGGCATTTTGTGGAACTTTTGACTTGATCTCCACCCTTAATTTGGGTGGATCTCAACTCTTAATTCGTTTTTCAATTATTTATTTGCATTTGTCCAAAATTTTGGCCATTTAATCACCTTTTTATTTAACCCTTATACCTTGCTTATTTTTTTCTATAATTTTAAATTCATGTCAAAATTAATAATTTCCTTCGGATGGCCAAATTTGGGAAGAAAATGACAAGTTTTGGTCCTCCACGTTTCTAGACTTTTTCCATAGCCCATTTTTTCCTTAATCTCTCTTTTATGTAAAAACTCACTTCTAGGCCTTCCTTTTCAGTTTTTAGGACTAATTTTTAACCCTTAACATTCTCAAACAATTAAATTTGGATTATTATACTTTTAATTTTATGTAATCGAGTCCCTAATTTTATGCAATTTAGTCCCTACTTTCAAAATTCCATTCTATACTTTTGAAAAATCCAATTTATTTTATAGTAAATTCAAAAATTCATTGAGGGAGTTTGATTTAAATTTTTATAATTTTTGGGCTTCATTTGGCCTCCAATTGCTTTATTTAGTGTGAAAATTACACTATTTCCAATAAAAAAAATTTCATATACTTACTAACATTAATTTAAATTTTTTTAGGCACTCTCAAAAATCCTATATGATTATTCTATGCCCAAAAAAAGAAACCTCTTACTCTTAAGGTGCTTAGTTAAATTCTTTACCTCTAAAAACATTATTTCAACACATAAAAATTCAAATAAAATATTCATAACACATAATAAAATTCACACAAGCACATAAAATAATTTCACACCCCTCTAACAATTATTCTAAGCACACAAACTATTTTTCATTCATAAACAACACACTTTAATTAATTATTTCATGTAAAAACTACTATTCATGCATTGTAAAATCAATAAAATATCCCTTAAGCATAAAAAACTATTTTAACTATTATATATATTCGTTAAAGTTCCTAAGAATTAGTTCACACCATTAAAATATGTTTTCCTTGTGTTTATTAAATTTTTATTTAATTTCGGTTTCAGCGGTACCAATTATTACAAATATATTTCATACAATTTAGGTGAATATTTTAATATTTTATTATTTATTATATATACTCTGAATCTATTGATTATGATATATATATATATATATATATATGTCATTATTTTTGTTAGAAATTAAATATATATCGACACGCATAATACCAATTATTTGTTATTTATTTTTTTCATATTTTGAATTTTTTTTAAAATGAAATAAGTTAGATAATCTTTTGAATGAACCTCTAAATTATTCAAATACAAATTTTTATGCTAATATTATTAAATATTTTGTTAATAAATATATATAAATCAAACGAATGTGCTCAATATAAAGATTCGATTTACATTAATCACCAAAAATAAAACTTCTATTCGTACTAAACCATACGAATCATTAACCTTAAGTGTATACTAGTTATTTGATCGCAATGTAGCGTGACTATGTAACTAGTTTATACCTAAAAGTATTAGGAATAGGTCACATTGTCTTGCTAGTTTGCATTCATTGCACTTAGAATGTGAGTTAATAATGGTAATATTCTCAACATTTTATGTCCTATATTAGGGGTGTTATACTATAAATTCTAGTCGCAGATAATGGAAAAGGACACACAATACAACACACAAATGACTCAACTTGCAAATTACAAATAGGTAAATGAGCACTTTGCTAAGTTTCAATAGATTTGAAACTTGTTAGGGTATAACTAGTAGAGAGTAATTTGTAGGCAAAAATCAAGTGGGTTGACTAATTCGTAAGCTACTAGTCGGTACTTAGTTCTTGTCTTGTGTTTGCAACAATCATGTTATTTAGTTCCTACCGAGTGTTATGTTTGGAGTGTTAATGTATAGATATTCATAGTTCTTTATGAATGTAAGTTTTTCTTTTTCAAATTGAGCATTTTAAAGACTACAAATTGTGAATCTAATTCACATTTTATCAAGGATTTGATGTTTGTATTTTTTGGGTTTTTTTCAATATTGCAAACCTACTTTCTCGATATGCTAATTATTTAATCTTTCAATTTTCAGTTTGAATTCACTATTTTGATTACATATTAGCCTAAAAGTTCAAATTATTTGTTTAGAATAGTGGTGATTGTGAATAATTATCCTTACAAACTTATAATCCAACCAACTTGGACAGGCTATAAGCACTTTTCAAGAGCTTCGAGACTAATAACAATTTATTTAATTTAGTTTTATATTGATATAAGACATTAAAAATTCACTAGAACAAGCAGTATCGTATTTAGTATAATTAATTAGGTTCATTTACTTTTATGTTTGGAAGATAGGTTGTGTTATAGACTACTATCATATCATCTTTTTATGCTTTTGTTACAAACTTCTCTTAAAGTTAGGGAAAAAAAACCCCACTAACAGATTTTTGGTGACCATAATGGGAGTGCATTCAAGATGGCACAAAAAATAAAAACAATAAGAATCCTAGCAGCTTGGGACGAAGATGACAAAAGTTGTCTCCCAACAATAGCAAATGATGTGCAAGAAGTGATATTAGAATCAACTAGGCCAGAAGAAGTACTGGATGTCTGTGTCCTTTTATTAGTTAAAGAAAGGAATAACTAGCTCAAAAGTAAGTTTAAATAAGCTTGTAAATTGATGGAAATCAAGTATCACGTTCTAACTCAATAGATGGAGGATAATCATAAATTAAAAATGAAAATGATAAAAGACTATTATAAAGAATTAATGTTGGCCACTAGCAAAACCACACACACTTTGATAGAATCCAAAGTCAGAGAAAGGGAAAATGCAATTATCAGAATAAGGCATGATTTAGATGCCTCGTAAAATTTGGAGAGACAAGCTCATATAGATTTAAACCAGACCCTTATGGATGTGAGCAACCACATAGAAACTAGGATAAAGAAAAGAATAAATATTGTAATCAGTGATTTTAATCAGACCATGTTTGAAATTATTCACAAAATCTTTAAATAAGTAGCCTTAAAAGTTGGCAATTAGATAGACGAAAAATTCTCTAAAAAGGTTGGTCATGTGAGATCTTATAGAGTAACTCCTCCCAAAAGAGCCTATAGTGACTCGTATAGAGATGAAGGTGGTTTTGAAGAAAGGGATAATCTACATTTCGAACCTAAACATTCAATTCCACTTACATAGATACTTATAGTGATAGGGGAAACCAATAGTGTTAGAGAACCCCTTGTAGACCTCCATGATTCAACATAAGCTAGGAATCAAAATTATAGATCTGCAAATGAAAAAGATAGAGGGTAAATCATTATAGGAAGACAGAGAATGTCTAAAATGATTGAGGGCCAAATTATCATCCTTTTATGCAACCCTTGTAGCCCAATCCTTTGTATGTAGAGTTGGCCTACTTGGAGAAAATGTGAAATTGTAGTAACCTTGCTAATCCAAAATCTCTAACACAAGTAATGATATCACCATCTTGAAGAACATCGCTAGGCTTTAAATCACGATAATGAAATATACGACTTTCATACTAGTTTGCAAATAATCCAGTGCTATAGCCACATCAATTGTAATGTTTAACTTCTGAACGACATTTAAACTTCTAGGTTCATATGCTGAGTTTGCTCTATGAAGTTGTAACCACGTTTCAAGACTTCTATTGATCATAAAGTCATAAACCAAAACTTTAAAATCTTGACCTTGAAAATCAAAGTTAGAGCATGCAACTAAAACTTTCACAAGATTTTTTATGTTTGATATTTGTCCAGGTTGCTCATTTTTCCATGCAACTTTTGGAAGCTCCACTGTTCAGAAGGTTGAGTACTTTCACTGCTGCATTCTTCATGTTGATTGCCATGTACCTCTGCTCCATTATTTATTCTAAATTAGTTACATGATCCTTGTTGACAACAACACAAAATGACAGCTTCTCTTGCCATTCTTTGTTCCTGTAAGTCAGTGTTGTTTCTGCTATAGGTTAGCAAAAGAATATAGCAACCACTATTGGTCCCTTTGTTTGCATTATTTAGTTGTAGGTACATAGCAAGTTCATCCATCATACCTTGAACTTTTGGGTTGCATTCAACTTGGGCAGCAATGATTTTTGTCTCTAGCTTTGCCTTTCCTTGTGAGGCAGCATTACCTTTGGGAGCACATGCTAACACCTAATTTCAACCTCATTTTTTTCACACCGTTTTTTCCAAAAAATAAAAATAAAAAAATCAAAATTAAATATTTTCTTAATTAAATTGATTTTAGAAAAAAATTTCCCTTTTTTTTTTAATATTTTTAGAAATCAAAAAATTTATGAGTTTATAGAAAATACAAAAAGTGAAAAAAAGAAAAAGAAAAGAGAATAATCTGAAAAAAATGATTTGGGTCCAATTGAAACAAAAGGTGAGAAGTGAGGACTAAAAAAAATCCAACTGGTGATATAATTGAAATATAATAAAAATCAAGGATTTTAATTGAGAATAATTTAGGATAGAATTGAGAGAAATCAAGAGAAAATGGATTGAAAAAATCTCTATTAAAGGCGTGATTGAAAGCGAATAAAGAGCCATAGATCCGAAATTAAGAAAATTAGAGAAATGGGGACCAAATTGAATTCTTCTAAAAATCATAAAAAAGTCCCCTTATAAAAGCCTCTTTGCTTCTGTTCTTTTCTTTTTCAGTTGGGAGCTGTATTTTACCTTCACCAAAATCCTTGTCGCTGCAACTTCGACTGCTCACTACCTCTCTCCACTGCCATCCCTGCCTCCGTAACCATCCACATCGACATCTAGCCTCCCACAGCCCTCTATTGCTGTCTAGTAGTAGCCATCATCTTCTCTTCTAAAACCTCACCAGCGGTTGTCACTCCCTATCGATTAACCCATCGTTGTAATATCTCCCACCACCCAGCTGCCAACTCTCGTCGCTACCCAAACGAATCACTCACAACCCTCTCTTCGTTAACCCCAACCAAAATTCCTACCCTATACCGTCAAAACACCAGCCCAGAACCATAGTCCAACCACTATTTACACACCATCAGCCACAGACCCACACCCCTACAACTAGCCAAATGTTCTAACAGTAGCTCTTATTATCGTCAGCACACTTCCATAACCAATCACTCTACTGCCAAACTTCATCCTCTAAACCTCTCTCCCAATAACTTCCTCCTACTGAACTAGCCTTAAATAGTCTATCTCTGATGTTGGTAGTGAAGGAAACGCGAAGAGGAAGTTGAACAGATCAAGAACGATTTCCAAACCTGCTTGTCGATTTGAAACTCATTGTCTCAAATAATTGATGTGCTCTAGAATTCGTTCTTATTTAGTTTCTAGCTTCCGATAGCTTCTTCATTGGCCAGAATCAAGGTAGAGGAAAAGGGGGAAGGAGAAATTGGTACTGTCATCATTTGAAATGAAGATCGAATCCCATAAAAATGATCTCTAAACCCGATTGCCTAACCAACAGTGGGTTAATTTATGGTTTAGATATCTTTTTGGTAAGATCACTAGTCTTCAGCAAATTCATTCGTGGGTTGAATACGAAGCAGAAACATGAGAAGGTGAAATTTATTGTTGTTAGTATCCACTCTCCCTCTCCAGTTGGTTCTAGTTAACATAGTCATTGTCGAGGTTAAAGAGAGTGAAATTGATCCGAGGAGCTTTTCTATACTTTTACATGGCCGAATCAGCTCATTGGGTGATTTTTAACATTCTAAGTGACTGTTTAGGTAAGCTATAAAATTGATGTTATATCTGTTAATTATGTTTGGCTGTATGCAATATGAAAATGCTATTTATGTGTTGATTAATTTGAGGTGTATTTAGATATAATGTTGCATATCGAATCTGAAAGAGTACCTTGAGTATTTTGATGAGTAATAAGATCGGTGTGAATGTTTTGTGATAAAGTTAGAAGAATTAGAATTGGGTTTTATTTCAAATGATTTATCCCAGGAAAATGTCAATCTTGGTGTGCCCAAATAAAGCATGTTATGTGATTTGTGTGATGAGACCGATCAAATATGTTATGTGTGTATGTGTCATAGTGATCGATGTTAGATTTGAAGGCTAAAATCGAGTTTGTAAAATGACCTATGTGATGTGTATATATTGCCGTGTGGAAATATGCGATGTTGGCTTTTAAAGCCAGCACAATTCTTGTTAAATGATTTATGTGATGTATGAAGTGGCCAATGAAAGGAGTTGCCGTCTAGCTATCATAGAGAATTAGGAAACCCTAAACAAATTAGTCCGTATAGATATCTATATCTACGTAAGAAGTCAATTATGTATGGAGAAGATATAATATCATCATTATTCCATTCTACCTAAGGAAGGTTGTATTGAGTGTATGCAAAAATAAAAGTTTAGTTTATGCTATATTATGTTTCTATGTTTATTTGAGTGAATTTATTTTGTTAGAATGGAATGGTAGCGTAATTCGGGCTTCAAGTCGGTCCAAGGTCAATACCTATATTCAAAAAGGAAAAGATGGATAGGAATTGGAATTTTGACTAAAATCCTGGTGACTATAAACCTATATTGGTAAAAGGTGAGTCTTTTAGGATTACTAGTCCATATTGATGTAATTAAGAAACTACTAATGACTTTGTCTATATAAATAAAAAATCACTTGACAATTTTGATACATACAAGAGATAATGGGTCATTAGTGACTTCATTCATACAAGTGAAAAGCCATAAAAAAAAAAAAATCATTCGAATGAAATAAAAATGACGAATCTCTTACGACTATAGTTCATAACAAAAATTATTTAGATGAAATAAAAAAAAATGATGAGTCTTTTGTAACTCCGAGACCATAACAAAAATTATTGAAACAAAATAAAAAATGATTAATCTCTTGTGACTCTAATCCATAATAGAAATCATTTAACGAATACAAATGGCAAGTTGCTTATGAATGTTGTTCATAATAGAAATCATTCAATAAAATGCAAATGATGAATCTCTTGTGGTTATAGCCCACAACATAAATCATTTAGCAAAATAAGAATGATGAGTCTCTTATAACTCTAGTTTATAACAAAAAACATTCAAAAGAATAAAATTGATAAGCTTCATATGACTCAAACCCATAATAGAAATCATGGAAACAAAATGAAAATGGTGAGTTTTTTGTGACTCTAGTCCATAATAGAAAAGTTTGAAACAAAATAAAAAATGACAAGTCTCTTATGACTTCGGTTTATAACATAAAACATTCAAGCATAATAAAAATGACGAGTCTTTTACGATTTTAACCCATAATAGATATTATTCAACAAAATAAAAATGACGAGTTTCTTATGACTCTAGCTCATAACAGAATCATTTAACGGAATAAAAATGACAAGTCTCTTATAACTTCAACAAATAACGAAATCATTGAAATAGAATAAATATAGTGAGTCTTTTATGACTTAAACCTATACCAAAAATCATTCAATAGAATAAAAATGATGAGTCTTATGTGACTCCAACTTATAATAGAAATCATTAAAATATAATGAAAATGACTAGTCTTTGTGACTCTAACCCATAGTAAAAATCATTGAAACGAAATGAAAATGATGAGTCTTTTGTGAGTCTAGCTTCGTACCAAAAATCATTCAACGGAATAAAAATGATGTGTCATCTCGTGACTTCGACCCATAACAAAATCATTAAAAATAGAATAAAAATGGTGATTCTCTTATGACTCCGACCAATAACAAAAATCATTCAACAAAATAAAAATGGTAAGTATCATGTGACTCCAACCCATAACAAAAATCATTGAAAAAAATGAAAATTACGAGTCTTTTGTGACTCTAGCCCATAACATAAATTATTAAAACAAAATGAAAATGAAGAGTCTTTTGTGACTCTAAACCATTACGGAAATCAATGAAACAATAAAAATGACGAGTTTCTTATGACTCCAACCTATAAAAGAAATCATTGAAAGAGAATAATTGAATAAAAAGATTTAAAGGTCATATGCGGCTTCGACGACATAAACGGAAAGCCACTATTAGCTTCATTTTGATGAATAAAGTAATTGGATAAACATTTCAATGAATAAAGAAATTAGGTAAAAAGATTTAGAAGCCATAGGAAGCTTCGACTATATAGGTGGAAAGCCACATTCAGCTTCATTTTGGCAAACATAATAATTGGATAAACATGGATTGGGCATGAAACATTAGGTAAAAAAATTTAGAAGCCACATACGACTTTGATCACATAGGTGATAAGCCACCATTGGTTTTATTTCAGTAAATAAAATAATTAAATAAACATTTATTGGACATGAATATTACGTATTCGGTACATCACATCCAAACATACTAGATCAAACACATCATTCAACACAAGCATAAACATCACATTCAAATGCCAACATCGGGATCAACATTTGTTTTGAATCACCAATGAAATTAAAACCCAAACTTGTCTTTCCAACTCCATCATAGAGCATTAATTCAATTTATCTTATTTCACCTTAAAATACCTTGGGTCTTTGACCTTTTCGATTTGATACACAATAATGTATCTAATTACACTTCAAATTTCTCAATAATCACAACCAAAATAATTTTATATTTTTAAAATAAAATAGTTTAACAAGTAATATCAAATGGGTATAAATTTTAAATGTTATCCAAAATAAGTTGAAAGATATTGAAATTACCAAAAACTTTATTTGGAGTCAATTCTACTTTCTTAGTCCTCAATGAAAACCGATTATTCAATTAGTTGAGAAAGGAGTTTCGTTGCTAAGATTGTTAGTATGGGTCCTGTAGAGTGTCTGTTACTTTGGTGGTTGTCGATGTAGTAGGGCTATTTCTATGGTGGTCGTTGATGTAGTAAGGTCGCTACTATGGTGGTCGCTCTTAGTGGCTAGAGTGATGGCTAAAATCGGTGGTTGTTATGGTGGTAGAGTGGCTATTAACGTTGGATCATTATCGTGGTTGTAGGAAGTGAAATGTAGTCTTTGACTAAGAGTTGTTAAAAGCCGAGACTCTAGCCAAAGGTTTTTGTAGGGACACGAATTGTGAAAGAAATCAATTAATGGGTAAAACAACTACTAGTTGCAGTTATGAAGTTGCTACTTGTGATGGTAGTAGCTTTTGGAGATAAAAATAATGGTTGTCTTAGTCCTGGAGGAATTGTTAGACTAATTACAATGGTCGTGGGTTGTCGATAAAGGTTGCAATAATTTTAGGCAAAGAGCTTTATTACTATGATTGATGGGCAAATAGGTGAGTTTTATGAAGTTTACAAGGCTGGTGGATGATGGATAGGAAAGAAGACAATAGGAGTTGTGGTTTTCTTTTTGTGAGGATGAGTGTGATGCTTGTTTGGGCAACCATAGGAACAAGTAAAATGAGGCTTTTATGAGGTTGGAAGGGAGGGAGGGTTTCTCTCAATGCTTAGGTTACTCGTGATTGTGGTTGATGAAGGAGGATGGTGTTTTGGATGTTGATGAAGAAAAAGGCTACGGTGGAGGAAGATAGTGTTAAGTTGTGGTGGAGAAGGCTGGTGTGGTTTTGGATGAGGCAAGAGATGAAGTGGAGCTCGTTGGATTTTTAGGAAGATGATGAATTGTGTGAACTGATTCGAGGGTAGTGGTTGTGATGGCGGTTCAAGTAGTTAGAGGGGGAAGATAATGGCTACCGATGGCCATGCATTTTGACTAAAGGTACTTGATGGAGAAGACTAGCCTCGGTGAGAGAAAGAGGTGAGGTTTTGGCTCGAAAGGAAAGGAAATGGAGTCCGTGGGATTTTTCTTTTTTGGGGGGAGATTAACAATAGTTTTTAGCCCCTCTAAAATGAGAGAAAAGATGAGTATTTATAAAGAGAAAGTTAGGGTTTTAGGTAAACATCAAGTTTGGTCCCTAATTCCTCTCGTTTTTGTCAATTTTAGTGTCATTTTGCTTGCTTGAATTTTAATGAAACCCTTTAATTTAAATTAATTAGGATCTTTTCTTTTAATTTTTCTTAATTTTACCCTTTTTTCTTTTAAT